CCGTCTGACCTGCAGGAAGAAACTCCCTATGGACGATCCCCTCCTGGTCGAAAAAACAGATCAGCATTGACTTCACATTGCTCTTGACCTGTCTTGCCTTCTTCGGTCGTGATGACAATGGGCACTTCCATTGTAAATATTGCTGCTTCGTTTCCGGATCGTACCCGTAAACCCAGCTTTCATCACCTGTGATAACCTTAGAAAGGAAGTTGGGGTCGGTTCTTGCAAGATCTTTGAGCTCCTGACAAACGAGAAGTCGATTCTGCTTCTGGTCCTCAGACAGGAGCCTTGGCACAAACTTGGCTGCGATACGTCGCATGTGGAGTTCTTCCTTTAGAATCAGCTGACAGGTCCCATAGCCTATCCCAACAATGTCGCACAAGTCGTTGATGGTACGACGTTGATCTTCGTGAATGGCCTGCCGAATCTTCCTAACATTTTCGGGTGCGGACTCCCCAAATGCTTGCTTTAGCATTTCATAGGTTTCCGTAGCCGTTTTGGCGAGTCTTTGGCAAAATTTGATGCACACGCCATTCCGAAATCGCAGGAGGGTCGGTGTAATGCACTATGAATGTAGGCCGCACCCCCTAGCGGCAGAAGCTCGTACTATATCCGGTTCGCCATCTATTGACACAGTCTGGAAACTTGCCGACCGCACCTCGTATTCATAGAGAGCAACAGTACATATGGACCTCATTGTAACCACCTTTCCATTTCTGCTTTGATTATGAATGTTTGTATTATGTACAGCAGTGGTCCCCAACCATGGAAAGAGGTTATACTGAATAATGAAGGCCGTTCAACCACGAACATTATAAAATCAAAGCACAGATCTAGACTTACGGACGCCCATCTTGACGATTGTTTGCGAGCAGCAACATCATCCTACACTCCCAAATTTGAAAAACTGACTGATGAAATGCAGCGCCAAACATCACACTAACCTCCCACTTGAGTAATAATAATTGTACTTATGAAACTACGTATTTTTGATTGCATGGTTTCTTGCATCATTAAACGTCGTGTTGTTTTGTGTATTAATTGGTGTCCATATCTTATTTGTCCAGAGAAAAGAAAATTTGGCTTTGTTAATTGGTTGGTGCCTGCCACGATCTCATAAACTCTGAAATGTGCCTGTAGGCACAAAAAGGTTGGGGACCACTGGTGTACAGCATGCCTGAGAAATGATATCGCAAGCAACAAAATCTGCAAGTTAGCCATGACAACACAGGGCTATAAACCCCACTGGAACTAGGTCAGAAGCACATAAACAACTGGAGATGTTACACTTAATTATAGAGCACAAGCTATTGCAAATGTAGTAATGAGTTTTCATGGAGTGAATAAAGTTTATAGAAATGGGAATCCATCAAGACCATCATGGAATTACAGTACTACTAATCTGAAGCATGTAACTGCCTCTTTAAGTTGAGGTGATAAATTTGATACTTGTTTATAATGGTATATAATTAAAAATAAAGAAAAAATTTGCATAAACATGTGGAAAACAAATTTCTTGACTGATTCTAACTTATCAATTCCTGCATATAAGAATATTAAAGTGGTTTATATGAGAGGTTATGAACATGAATTATAACAAAAAATTATTAGACTGCATAAGGTAACACTAATACCACAGTCAGAACTTCTTCTTGATGATGGCAGAATACAACCTGCTGAATCATTTGTCATTACTTTCAAAACCACAGAAAGTGTCATTCAGAAATGATGTTTTTTTACGTGAGACCAAGTGTAGTGCAAGTGGTATCTGCAATTTCTCTTTTCAAAAAATGATTGACTCCAGAGATCAACGTGAGTTCATGAAAATTGCTGCAGTATCATACAATGTGTTATAATTTGCATTTAGAGAGGACACAATGAGAAGTGAAATATTGGTGTGATTTGGAATGATATCATTTAGGGAATTGATGGAATTACCCAGCATGAGAAACAGGGACTTTCACACTCCCCAGATATAGCTCAGTGAGACTATTCCTGTTTCCAAACTAAAATTAGTACTTAAGGGGAGGGAAATATATATGACAATGTAACTAAAATCAAAGTAATTCGCACACTACACTTGTCGAGTTCAAGATGCCGGACGTCTGCAGAGGCTTTCAATAACGGAGGAATTGCTGGACTTTCTGTGTCAAGTCACGAGGAAATTGCTTTGAAACGAGCAGAACCAAACTGCTAAATGTTATTTAGTTTCAAGAAAAATAAGATTGGAAAGGTATTCCATTTTCATTACACTATAATTTGAAAGATGTGCGATATCAGGGAAGACTACTAACAAAACTAGTGCAGATTCCTAACCTGTGTGGAACCAGTGAATGCAACTTTGTTGATGTCTGAATGGGATGCAATGGCAGCACCTGCAGTTGGCCCATAGCCCGTCAGGACATTTATGACACCTGCTGGAAAACCAGCCTAAAACAAAACAAAACCCTCATTTCTAAAAATTACCAGAACATAATAGCAAACCAAAAAACTCACAGCAAATGACAATATACTTTGTTGTTGTTCTTTGGGGTTGTAACATCATGTAGACCTGTAGACAGACACCAATGTTTTGAAGAAACATACTGTCTCCACCTTCAGAGCTGGAAAAGTGTTTCTATTATGTGGGTATCTTGATCTACTGGGCCTCTACCTGAAGACAGTTACCTTCTTCTCCTTACATGGCACTGCATACCACAAGGACAGGCCACTCTGCTCACAAATATAGCTTTGGCAATCTCCAAATGAGAATGGTGCATTGATATCATCAGCTCATGACACTAAGAGGGTTAAAGTAAATTTTAATCCAAAACAAGCTGTTCTATGTATTCAGCACATTGCATACTTCTAGACTTTATATAGCAATGAATACCATGAACAGCATCACAAAAGCTGTTTTATATTACCTTGTCTTATTTCAATGATTACTCTGGAATGGACGTATACAGTATATTGTTCGATGTTCCCTTTATGTAGCCCCAGGAATGACAGCAGCATCAAATAATTTTTAAGAAAAAACAATTAAAATTTTGTTACATAAATTCACTTAATATTAGCAGAAGTTATGTACGCCACACTAAAAGAAACTGCTGAATAAAAATTACACATTTCTTTTAAATCTTGGTGTCAACCTCAGACATCACACACCTCTTTGCCGAGGGCAGCAACATAAAGAGCAGTAAGAGGTGTCTGTTCTGCAGGTTTAAAAATAATGGTACATCCAGTAGCAAGTGCTGGACCCCATTTCCAAGACAGCATCAGAATGGGGTAGTTCCAGGGGACGATCTGCCCCACTACACCAACTGGTTCTTTGCGTGTCAGGCTGAACAGTTCAAAATCTGAAATAACCAAACAGTAGTCATAAATTAACATGAACAAGCATTTGGGTGCACGATATATTTATACTACTATTTACAGATCTGATACTCTTTTGTGACCCCTGGGTTTCAATTTCACTGTAAACTTGGTCGTGTCTACCAACAGACATGTGCCATACAGGGGATCTACTGGTTAGTTTGCTGATAACTGCATGTGAGACGAATGCAGTTCCAAGATTTTAGCAAGATGGCACTAGGGAGCATAAAAACATCAATTCTTAGAGTGCTACTCATCTGAATCTGCTAGACTTGTTTTTGAGATTAAGAAAATTGTCCATTCTGGCAAAATTTATGATCAGAAGCACATATATAATTAAAGACATTACAATTGTTACTCCAGACACGATGAGATGAATATGGCTAGAGAGTGAATGCCACCTGGATGTTCTCTAAACAACAAATGGTAGACACACTTAAGTCTCATAAAAATTATTTTTAAATTAACATGGCATCACAACTCAGAAAATCATCACTTCTATGAGAACCTCAAATCTCATATGAAAAATATGTCTTAAATTTATTACCTACAAAATGTACTCTCCAACTTTAAATTCAATTTTATCTGTAATGAGTGATTATAATTTGAAGAAACTTTGCCGACATACAGAGTACTCAAGCCATTTGTTTCTCATTAGTTTTCGTTCAATTTTGTAGATACTATAAAATGGTTGCCTACAGTACTGAGCAGTCAATATTCATCATCCAGAAGAAGTCAGAAGAGCGGCCCAGGTTATTAAAGGTAAAAATAAAAAAAGAAGAAAGACAGAAAAGAAAAGAAGCATTAAGTTGGAATAGACAGGCATACAATTTCAAGAAATTTCACTAGACAGGATCAGTTTTGGACGATTACTCTCAAAAGTGGTAGGCCTTCAACAACAAGGACTGAAACCAATATCCACATCAAACACATAATATAAATGGCTTGAGATGCTGATTTGACTGGTATTTGAACAGACTTTTATGCCTCATCATTCAGGTGAAATAAAGCATTGAACTTGGTGGGTACATTTTGAGCCATCCTGTACAAATCTTTTCTCTTGCTTTTGAAATTTCTGAGAACAAAAACAAAATATCGCAACCCTCTTAATGAACAACAGTGCCTGCAATGCACAGTTTTCTTTCCTGTTTGGTGTAGCTATTCCATGTATAATAATGAAGGGGTTAACCTACATTTAATTCCATGTTAGTAAAGCACTGTACACTAATGTGTACAACATTTTACTAACTAGGACCATTTGTACTTATAACTTGGGCTTAAAACTCATTTTTCTCTAACACAGACAAACATAATTTAAATTAAGAAAAATTTGAATTGTAATAACATGATAAATATATTGTCAAGCTAAATTCATTGGACCAACTCACCTGCAGGAATGGTATTACCATGAATCTTATCACACCAACCAGCATAGTAGCGGAAAGTGTCGACGGCACAACCAATGTCAAACACAGAATCCCCATATGGTTTTCCATTGTCTAGTGTCTCCAGACTGGCAATGTATTCAACATCCCTCTCAATTAAAGTGGCCAACTATAAGAAAACATTAAAAAATAATGTACAAGATGCAATCTCTAAATCACAGAGTATTTCCTGAAATGTATAATGTGAAGTTTTCATGGCAGCTGTCACTAATAAAATCTTCTCAGGCTATCAGTCATGTCAACATTTTGACAAGGCTGATGACGCAAGATGATCTTATATTTCCTGTGAAGTCTATTTATTTGACAATTCAAGCAATGCATTTGTCACCAGCTCCACAAAGACTCACAACTGACTCCTATCCTGAGCCATTTATAATCTGTTTACAACCTATTGTGCAAGACCCATTTCAAACCTCCTTCGTTATCATCCCATGTACACAGTACAAATGCCTATTTACCAGGTTATAATTCAACAAACATAATGCCTAGCACAGCCAAAACTTATATTTCATCTCTCATAGTCTGTATTTCTAAAACTGACAGTTATTTTTATAGTAATTCAGAGAAAAAACTACAAGTTTTTGATTCATGTACGGTAAATTCCACTTCTAATTTGCTGCATTCCATAAATATAAAGTTTATGCTCTTACTTCATGCACATAACTAAAGATCCACTAGGCTACCTTACAAAAATGCCCAGCTCTTACTTCCTGTATTCATGATTCAACATTGATCAGTACTTAAGACATGGAAATCAATGCACCTTGTTTATAAGTTTTCCACGAGTTGATGCATCCAGCTTTCTCCATTCTGAACCAATCTTGAATGCTGCATTGGCTGCTGCAACAGCATGATCAACATCAGCCTACAAAACATCATGTGGAGTTTTAGTATGAAGCAAAACTGGAGAGCAAAAGGATCTCCCTTCATATGTGATGTCCTATCCAGTAACATCAATAGACCCAGTGATTTCTTTTTGTGGCAGTATGTACCAGTATGCAGTACCAGCATCTATTCTTGAAAACATAAAAAGACTATCAAAACACACCAAAATTGTCAGCCATAACCTCAAAGTACCACCATCTTTGTATCTAAAAAAGCAATGAAGTAGATCATAGTGTCAATGTTGACCTTCTGAGCTGTAACGGCACGTGAACTTCAAGGTAGATGTAAATTTTTCAGACGAACACAATGCTTCCAACTTCAGGGATGATGGGCACTTTATATGAACACCTACATACATTACTATATGAGAAAGTCATAGGGTGGGAGAACCCCAAATGGGGAATCCCAGCTGTTCAACTTGCTGCCACCACCATCAGTAAACTTCTACCAGACTACATAATGCAACAACCCGGAAGACAGCCATCTTTAGACTCACCACTGTGAAAACCTCAAATCCTACTATGACATCACTGATGCCATTCCTAAAGGCTGAAGCCTGGTGAATGTGCCAGAACTGTTATCTATGTGTACCCTACCTTAAGTTTTCTGTGAAGGGCAAATCTGGAATGTTGATGGAGTGACTCCACACTCCTCTAGTGCCTTAGTAGCTTATAAAATTTTTCTCCATATTCTGCACAAAGTGCTCTGTAAATGTGATCTTAAGAAACTTTGTGAAAATTAAAAAAACAAAATATAATAGTCATTTTATAAAAACTTCTCCAATCACTTTAAATTAATTTAATTAATTTACATATGTGTTTTAATTACATCAAACATTATGAGCTCCATTCCCAATCAAAACTCATTGTATTGCTTATCCTGATAAAAAATTCCCTCTGTTCTCCTCCTTACCATTTACAGATAAGAGAATCAAAAGGAGTCAGGAATCCTAGGGGCAAATGCGCAGTATATGGCAGCAGGGGTGCATTATCAGGCTCCAGCAAAGAGGCTGGAAAGTCATGCTGCTTTGCTTGGAAATTCTACACCACCACCAGAATATAACCACATATCTTACCCAGTGAAGAAGAGATCTCCTTGAGAATCTAATATTCAAACAGACGGACAAGAAAACTCCTGCCTTTTATGGAACCTGAAGGTTCATTATCATGTTTCTATCCTGATCCAAATGACTCCAGTCCATTTTCCACTGCTTAGGACATTCTACACAATTAATACTAGTCCAAGACCCTGAGTAACATTTTGTAATAAACTAGCTATTTGCATTGAGGGAGGGCTTGAAAGCACCAAATCCAACCCCAGAAGTCTGCTACCTGTACATTGCTAACCCAAAGATGCAACATGGGACTAACTAAAAATTATAACTACAAACAATTTTGAAGGACGGTCATAGTGAATAATGAGAACATTGTATTAACTACAAGATGAATCACAAGGAAACTAAGTTATGTAATGAGGTTGTTTTCTTAGAGTAAGTTATTCACAAAGGCACACAAATGTAATGGTCATGTTTATTATTATTTTTATATTCTGTATATGTGATCACAATAAAGATGAGACAGAGCATATTTGAAATTCAAAGAAAGATTACCTTGTCAGCTTCTGCAATGTCTGCTATTTTTTTCTCATTTGTTGGATTCAAAGTAGGGAATGTCTTTCCAGAAGCAGAGTCCACAAACTCATTGTTGATGAATAACTGCAAAAAAGAAGTTTGTGAATAACTGCGACAAGTAAATCACTTATTATAGTATAAATACAAAACAAAAGAATCATTCACAACAATTTCTGCGGCTAAAGCCATGTCCATTGATTTATGGGTTCACCCTTTGGGGTCACAAATGCTGGTCGTTAACATTACTGGTTTGTATTCTGCAAGTCATGAGTTCAAATGGCAGCTTAGAGACAGATTATCCTGACTGATTTGTTTTTCGCAATTTCCTGTGAAATACCGGCGTAGTACCTTGAATTTTGCCACTTCCGCTTCCTTTCTAATTGTTATCACTCATGTTGTGAATGTTCACAACAAGAAATTGTGTTAAAAAATACAGCCAGTAAACTGGAGAGTCAAGCAGTAGAACACATTCTTTGCTTGAAACAGTCCTTTCAGTAAAACTGAAATATACTTGAAACACAGTTCACATATGTAGAATAATGTTTTATTCTAACCCATTACTTTGTCAAACACAAAAAATTAAAATTCACTCAACATCTTTAAGTATTTTTATTTACAGTTTAACGACGCTTTTTCTGTAGCTCAGCCTATATAGCGACGAATGGAAGGCCCCAGTATCAAATTTGTCTAATCGAGATCCGTTAGTAGCGTTCTAAATTATAACTTAAACTTCATTGTGCATTAACATACAAAGCGTCGTTAAATAAACATATCAAAACGGCAGATCCCAAAATTAAAACTGTTATAAAATCGAGGAAATAAACAGGCCTGCATACAAGACGTAAATTTTTAAAATTTCAATTGGCAGCGTCGTTAAATAAAATACACCAAAATTTGCATAATAAAAATTAAGACAATCATAAGAAATACGATTTCCAACCTGTAGGACGGAGGCAGGAATATCCAAATTTCTAATTTAATGCAGGATCTGAGGTTTTCACGGCGGTGTGTAGTCTGGTATTAGTTTACCGACGTCTCAGAGGTCCTTGCTTCCTCATCATCGACCTTTGAAACATCAATAAACTTCTACCAGACCATACTGCGCAACTCAGAAGACTGTCATCTTCTAATTTTATAATTTATACAAATACGACGTAGTACTTAACATCCAATCGACTATAGTATGTCATCGTACAACAGTCTTAGGCTCATTTCCAGTACAGGGCAATCTTCAACAGAATAACTGCCCCACCTTGCATCCCACGCAGTGGAAATAAGGGGCCCGGCACGTGACACTGACCACTCGGTCGACAGCTTTAACGTCACAAGCCCACCCCCAAGTCTTCGTGGAATGTGGAAGAACACAGAAAATTTCAATGGTGTCTGCCTATCTCTTACCTTGGTATATTTGATCTGTGGGTTTCTGTTAGCCATGTTTCCGCACCACCTGTTCCAGTCAAGCGACCGACGCCAACTGCTGCTTGTCGTTCTCAGGAGGAGCATAGATTGAGACAAGTAAATAAAACACATACTGAATCACAGACACAACACATAACACGAAAACAACTTCTGAGGACGTTGTACTGATGTGTAACGCTCGTCTAAATATCTGAAGCACGTATCACAAATAAACAACATGAAAACCCTCATTTATTATTGCCAGTAACTTGACCAAGGATCAAAATAGGGATTTTACAAAAAAAATACAGCAGTGCTAACAACTATAATAGTTGCTGCAATAAATCCTGTATACTTCCAATACACAAATTAGCATTGAAGATTTTAAAATGGCTAACTCTATGATACTTCAACTCTTTAAGAAATTTCATTGTTGTAGAGCCTGATGGTTAACTAATAGCCAGTATTTACAAACACTAGCCACAATAGCTTAATCCTGAACCACTTTAATTGCAAATCCCACCTGCTTCTGTAATATAATGTTTAATATTATCCTAGTTTCTCTCCCCCCTTGCTTTTCAGCCCAAATTTTGCATGCATTTCTTCCTTTTTCCCTGCAGCCATTCGAAGTTCTACAAACCATAAGACGATTAGATGAATACAAATTATAAAGCTCCTCATTAAGTAATTTAATTTATTCCCCTATTGATTAATTTCTCTTTGGCCCAGTTGTTCTCCTCAATGCTCTACTGTTAAGCTTGTTAAATGTAATGTTCTTCCTTTGCACCCATAAACAACATTACATGCCTTTATTGTAGGATAACATATATTTTTATAAAAAATCTAGTTATTTCAATGTTTAATATCAACATTTTAATCTTGTGTGTGTGAATTTAAATAACAGATCAATTCTATCTCTGATGCTCACATGATTAGATTATGGGTTATATCTGGCCTTGTGACAAAATTGAAAGGACAGTAAATTAATTCTGTATCTATAAATAATGAACAAACTTCATAAAGCCTAGTCCTTGAAAACCTAATACTGGTCAACCTAGTTAAGGAATTCCCTGACTTTTAGAGAACCCAAAGATTCATTACTATACTCATAAGAGTTCACCACCAGTCCATACCAAGCCAGATGAATCCCTTTCACACTCTTTACCTAAGGTATTTTTTAAAACTATTATTCAATCTACACCTAGGTCTTCCATGTGATCTCTTTCCTCCCAACATCTATTAGAAACTCTCCTACTTTAATGCTAGGACTGCAGTCAAGCCTGGGAAGTGGTGATTTTTTGAGGGCTTGTTTAACTCTTGACCCCTCTCTGTTTGAGATTGAAGTCACACTCATAAGTAGATCTATGTGCATTTCAGGAGCTGTTTATTGCTCAATTCTATATTTAAAAGTGTAAAGATATCACTAAGTAGTAATAAGAAAGGACTCGTATAAGTCATGCCCATTTCATTCAATCTAAAACTGTGTAACGGACTGCCCCAGCACTCTTATCTTTTAGAATTACACCCCTGCTTAATCCCACACACCAAAACAAGCTGTCTTCTGGGATATTGCACAATGCAGTCTGCTCGATGTTGACCGATATTTCAGAGCAGATTACTGCCTCCATCATCATCTGGTAACAGCCATCTTCATACACATTTCTGTGTGAACCTCAAATCTCACATATGGTGCACTATTCTCACAGACAAGATTAGTAATGGATTCACGGTAGCGAAAAATCTTCAATGTCAGACTAAGACAGGTACTCTGGTCCTCCAGGTTGGGGGTTGGTTGCAAGGCTAACAACCTTGCACCGTAAAAAGGAAGATGTTTCGAAACCTCAACCTCAGACAGACGGACCTAACAGAAGGACCGAATGGAAGAGAATTGAGGAGGCCATGGACTGAATACGGACCGGAGAGCCGCCGAAGAAGAAGAAGAAGAAGGAGGAGGAGAAGGAGAAGAGAAGAAGAATTTTTAAGTTGTTTATAATAGGATTGAAATTTTTGTTTCATGTGTTGACAGTCTAATAATAACCAGTGCAGCTGGACTGCCCATAAATTGACCAGTTGCTGAATCACTTTAAATTATATAAGAGAGTTCTTATACTTATTGGTACTTGTAAGTTGCAAAGAAAACAGCACAAAATTAAGCAGTAACAGATTTATTCTTGGGTAAATGGAGCTGCTGACCCTGCTTTGAATATAATGCCATAATGTGTGTGAGGTAGCTTCCTGTCTGTCCCACCATATGGTGGAGTGTACCACAGGTAAGCAAAGAGAATAATGATTAAAAAATATACAGTGTGAAAATTTGTTTCACAAAGTTAAAATAACTGCAGTGCCCATTATTACAATCCAGTAATGACATACGAATATCTTGCAATTGTCGAACATGTAGGTGCAGTATTTTCCTTCAGAGTTTGTATGGCAACTGAACAGTCACAGTTTTAACCTGGAGGTATTCTTTCAGAGAAACTTCACCCCTGAAACCAATTAATGCAATAATTAGCTGAATTTACTTTCACCTGAATTTTAAAAGTAAACCTAAGACATAGCAATGAAACTTCATTAGATGTATGACACATGACTTAAACCTTTGTATTATCATTGTCACTCAATTTGCTTTGTAACATCATACTATGAATACACAAAACTCACATTTTATAATTCCATTATACTCACATTTCTCTACCAATTCCTGACTGCTTGTAGCCCCCAAATGGAGTCTGGGGAGTTACAGTATTGTAGCAGTTCACCCTAGAATAATCATACATATCTATCACTTTCAGCACACCTTGATTATCCGTGGTTGAAAATTTTCAGTGTGATGCAGAGTTTTGCATTTCTTCTTGTAGGTTATGTCATAGTCAGTGGTGTAACTTACAATGCAGTACAAATAGTGAATAGTTTAGGAACATCTCATTAAGATAACAACGTTTATAGGTGTGTCAAAAAATTTGCTCTTGGGCAAATATGATGTAGAATCAAAATTTCAGTTTGTTGAATATAATACACGTATTACAGAAAAAAAATAATGAAGAAAGGTATCACATGAAAAAACAACTTTTGATGATCATTCAGCTTCACTGTGTGATGTGAGACTTATAAAACAGCATCTTTACAAGTACTTTATTCTCCTGCTCCTTGGAATTCACTGTAGTTTTATGTTCCCATCTGCTTTACAGAAATAAGAAAGAGTGATGTAGCAAGAAGTGAAGAGGAAACTAGGGATGATGTTCCAGAATCTTTCATACTATTACTTGGTGTCCTACGTGAGGGATGCGAGTTGCGTGGATGAAGCGGAAATATCAAACTGGCTGTTTGTGTGGCGCTGTCCTAGGTTCCAGCGAAGCGGTCAGGAGAGGGAAGCAGCCAAAGTCTGAGATCAAATATTTTGATATTTTCGCGCGAGTCGCTGCGTTGGCCAGTAAGGCGCATGCGCAAGAAAGCTCTGACCGTGCAGTACACGGAAGGTGCATGTGCAGGAAGGCCGTGTGCTTCTATTGCAGTCTCTCACGTAGGACACATCAAGCGATTCCTCGCTTCATATGACACCCCATGCTGCTTATGCAGCTCGCTTGTTATCGCTTACATAGGACATTGCCTTAAGGTGCAGTCTCTTACCATACAGAACCAGCCTCTACAGACTGGGCAAACACTAGTGCTGTGTTGAGGTCCTTTGTAAGAATCCCAGCTGCCAGCCCATAGCTTGTCTTATTTGCCCTCTCAATGGCCTCCTCCAAGGTCTTAAATTTGAGAACACACTGCACTGGACCAAAGATCTGCAATAATAAACAAACCATGTATTACAAAACACAAACAATGACTACCTCACAGTTATTATGACCTTAGAAGTGTGTACATTCTGTAATTCTAAGACAAACAATGACTACCTCACAGTTATTACGACCTTAGAAGTGTGAACATTCTGTAATTCTAACCAAAATATAGATTAGCATTTATATTTGTGTTGGCAACATTGTGAAATCAATCTTTTTGGATGGCTACACTATTCACTACAATCAATCTACATCATACCAGAATATGGGATTTGACAAGCAGTAAGTGAGAAAGACATAGTTTGTCTGCAGTGTATAATGCCTGGGACACTAAGTGTTCTTTTCTGTGTGCATGTGTTTCTGATGGAACATAGCTGCTGTTCTCAAACTTCCTTACATATGATGTTATAACCTCACCTCTTCTTTAGCAATTGTCATATCGTCTTTGACATTCGAGAAGACAGTTGGTTTGATGAAGTACCCAGTGTCACCCAAACGTTCCCCTCCACACTCCAGTTTAGCTCCTTCCAATTTTCCTGATTTAATTAGATTCAGAACTTTGTTGAACATCTCATCATCAATCTAAAATGAAGAACAGAATCTATCACTGTTTAGTTCAAGTTGCATGGTGTGGGCCATAAAGTCAAACAATAAAATTTCGTAAAAAGCTTATGTGGGTTAGACAGGCCTCTTCTAAGGGACAGAGAGATGGTTGCAGGAACTGGATATGATGGTTGGAAGGTAGCGTATATCAGATGCCTCTACAGTGAACTGCAGAAGAAAACTAAAACAAAAAAGGAGGTGTCTTTGAAATATTCATCAAGACTTGAAACATTAACATCACAATCAGGCAGACAGACTTGAACCAAACATCATTTGTCTCAAACATTTTTTCATTATCTTCATGGAGTACAACCTTCTTGAGGAGCTAACACCTGGTCAAGAAATTCCTTATCATCAGAATTACTGTTAAAGGCTAGTTGGGGTTGTTATGTGGCTAAGGGCACTTCTATCTTGCCAACTAAGTAAATCTCATCACTTTTCAATTAATATTATAACTACTTGGATGGTTTAGAGGAAGTAATGGGGTAAATCATTCTACTAAGGGTACACCAGAGAGTACAAATAATGTTAAGGGGGCTGACAATTTTATGCTTATGAATGAATAAAAGAAAACTGCTGTACTATTTAAACTTTTAGTTCAAATTTCCAGTTGCTAATTGACATTTAGGTTATTATAGAGTTTAAATATTTTTCTCATATGCTCTATCACACTTTTTTGACATTCCATGCCACCGGTTAGGGCTATTCCAAGCACTGAGATCTAATTTGATTTCCACAACATGTACCTGCGGTCCCTGCTCGGTCGTTTCAGTGAAAGGGTCTCCAACCTTCCTCTTCTGAGCCCTTTCCACAGATTTCTTGATGAATTCATCATAGATATCTTCATGCACAAAGGTTCTGGAGCCTGCGCAACACACCTGTCCTTGATTAAAGAACACTGCTTGATGTGCAAGCTCCACTGCATGGTCAACTGAAATAGAATAGCTCTGGTAAAGTCAGAAAGAGACAGCCATTTACAGAGAAAGTTACATACTTACAAAATGTCTGAAACTGTCAAAACATAAATTTTCAGACTGTATTTCAGTGAAAGAGATGTACTGAAATACAAACCATCAGCATCATTAAATATAATAAGGGGGCTCTTCCCTCCAAGCTCCAGGGACACTTTCTTCAAATTTGACTTGGCTGCATCTGCCATGATTATGCGACCCACCTGGGAACAGACAATCATGTAGATAATTTCTGTTGCTTTATAAAGAAATCTTGACAGTGCTATAGAACATAATGTATGAAAAAGAATAGAAACACAAACTAAATTCTACATAACAGTTGTAGTCTGTCAGCCCATATAAGTGTGAAATGAAGTATTGAGGAAAAACTATTAAAAAAGAGAAAGTTAATTTATGAAATGAGGATCCTAAGCTATGATGATAGATAGACAAAGAAAGCAAAATGTAAGAAACAGACTCAGTATTCTTACTATAAACATAAACACAGAGAATATGAGATGTAAGTGGACCAAACATATTCACAGACTGCAAGGTATGAATATTCTTCTAGACAAGAAAATACAAAGAGAAAACTAACGTAAGAGTATGAGGTATGAACCCCTACTCTTTAAAGGAGAAACAGAAAGAAATATCTAGAATTCCAGAGAAAATAATCTGCTTAGATGTCTGTTGATATGGTTTTGTTTCATATTGTGCTTCCTAGAATTTATCTGAGAAGCCACATTCCTGTCACAAATTAGAAAGAATTAATTAACCTATAAACAAAATGTGAACAGAATATTTCAATGAACTTCTAGAAGGAAGGAAGGAAGGAAGGAAGGAAAATAGAAAAAGAAAAATGGTAACAAAAGAAAATGTGTACTTGTGAGTAACAACATAGAGTTGTGTAGAAATGTAGCATGTATTTCTGACTTGTGATTTGGATCTATAAATCTTGCAGCTGTAACAAAAGACTTAATCCATGCCAATGGTAGTAATATTGATGATTTTTAGGATGATGGAGCTTTACTGAAGGAATACTTATAAAAAAAATATGATACTGATTCAGTGGGCTGCAGACAACAGTAACTAGAAGGAATGGTATCAAGTCAACTAACTGCAGTCTATTATTATAATTGTCAACAATCATACAGTGTCATTCTCATACAAAAGTTGCAAACAAACTTTTCCACAGAGTCAATGTAGTGCTGAATTCAAAGCCTCTATTATGTCTTGTTTATCAGTGCTTAAGCAGATGCCTCCAGTTACAGTCATCTCAACCTTCCTAGACTCAGCTTATGTGGAAAAGGGAAGGAATCCTTGCACCCAAGGTAGATTTCATTAATTTCAGTCATGGGTAATTGGAGAGAATTATTACTGGCAGAAGAGACACAGTTCAGCATATTGTTCGCTCGTATTCTCAAACTACAGACATCACAGATCTTGAATCTAAAACAGAAAGTTTTACCTCTGTGGACCCTGTGAAGGCCACTTTGGAAACATTTGGGTGAGCTGTGATAGCTGCACCTGCTGTTGGTCCATAGCCTGGGATCACATTTACTACACCAGCAGGGACACCAGCCTGCAGACAACAAATAATGAATATATACACAACCAGTTCTGTTGAGTTCAAATGACAGCAATTACAAATAGCCTGAAATTATCTACTGTGTTGCACACGCACAGTTTTTAATTAATTTTCATCCATAAGCATATCTACAACTCTCATGTTCAAGACTATGAGATCATGTAACCATAAGCAAACATTCACACAAAACAGATTATTTAAAGTGGTATGCACTGCCATCTGTGTAAACACTGTGATACTAAGCAGTTTAGTAAATTGTTTATGCTTCAGATGGCATCTAGAGACCAGCAGAAGGTACTTGTTAATAATTCACAAATAACGAATATCAACAAAAATTACTGTCACTTTTAGGCAGTTTCCTAGCGCAGAAGGCAAGAAGTGGGGAAGGATGCAGAAGGGGTTAATTAAAATTAACAAGCTGTTTACTAATTGAGACTGGCACTGACTTACAATAACTTTTAGGCCAACTTATTTCCATATAGCAAAACACAGCTGTAAAGAATGGACACAAACAACAAACCACTGAAGTAAATTACATCAATAGAAAATAGGTATAAGGGAAGGGAAAATTTAGAAATGGAATACAAACAAGGGTGTAGGATATTTAAAATTAACATAAACAATGTAAAATTCATACATCATGGACATGAGTAGAGAATATAAAATAAAGATACTCCAGAAGAGTAAGGAGAAAAATATAGGTGACTAACACACAGGACACAGGAAAACCTGGAGAGAAGAGTTTCAGAACGTCATGAGAAAAGCAGATTTTTTATTTTCTTTCCTCTATCCTACACATCTATCTTTCCTTTAATTACTTTAAATGCAGTTTGATGAAACCTTACTAGAAAAATCACTTTCGTGATCAATGTAGAGATGAGAGAATAATATAATCTCTTTAATGCCAAGTTGTAACTATGTTTATATATTTTAAAAAGTTTTTAAAAGAATGACGGTGTGAAGACACAGAATTGACTGAGATGGTTGAGTACAGCGATCAGCAGTAGACTTTAGTGATATTTTATCTGAAAACATTTTTGTGGTGTTCTCTGCCTGCAGATGAAAAATTAAACCAATATAAAAGCATTGCTGACATTTAGCTGAAATAAAAACATATAATTTAGTGATGTTGGTAACAGCTTATTGGATTCAGCTGAAAATCTATCAACCTCTTCAGGAAACTATTCTACTGTTTTATTTAAAAAAAAGAGGGGGTAAACAGTACAAAACATGACTGCTCCATTCCATCTAATTTATATCTTTCATTTATGTACCTCCTTTACAAGGGCAGCAACATGGAGGGCAGAAAGTGGAGTCTGTTCTGCAGGCTTCAGAACAACAGTGCACCCAGTTGCAAGAGCAGGACCCAACTTCCAGGCTACCATCAAGAGTGGGAAGTTCCATGGGATGATCTGCCCAACCACACCCACTGGCTCCAAACGAGTAAATGAGAATACTGCGCCATCTGTATCAAGCAGTAAGCTTCTGTTAACATCGTGAGAGAAAGGGGAGGTACAACGGTAGATAATGAATCTGTATAACATTACACAGACAATGCAGAAACAAATGTGGCAGTCCCTGTATTATGCCAGATGAATCTAATCCACATTCTCATATTCCTTCGTTCCAGATCATTTTAATATTATCCTCCCATTTATATCTATGTCTCATAAGTGATACCTTCTCCTCATATTTTCCAGCTAATACTCTGTATGCATTTATCATTTCTCACAGGCATGCTATGTGCCTTACTCAGACTTGCTGTACATAATTTGATTATCTGAATAATATTTGGCTAAGTGCATAAATTACTGTACAACTTTCTCCTGTTACTTCTTCTGTCTTAGGTACAGGAAGCAAATGGTAAAACTTTGGTTATGAGTATTTTAATCTTTACATTCTTATGTAGGAGATGAAAGGACAAAAGATTCTGAGCTGAATATTCAGAAAATAATTCCTTATAGAAGAAACTACTTTTACAATCCCACATTTACAACTTCACAAAAGGGGAAATTTTATCTTTAACATACCAGTTTCATACAGCTTCAAAAAATGTTAGTGCTGACAGATTGGTATATTTCCAGTTTAGAAGAAAACACTCAGAAGATAAAAAAACAAATTTAGTCAATGTAAGTTTAAATGTTACCAAACTAGAGAAATTTGATCCCAGGCAAAGAACAAATACCTAAGGATGGTAGTCTGTGTATGTTGGATGTATCTGTGCAAAATGATCAGTCTGAAAACTTACAATTAAACTAAAATCTGGTATCACAAAATTTATTGTTTCTGTTCACTCACCTGCAGGGATAGTTTGGCCATGTACCTTGTCACACCAGCCAGCATAGTAGCGCAAAGTATTTACACTGACTGCTATGTCAAAGAATGCTACCTTGAAGGGTTTTCCATTGTCCACAGACTCCAGTTTTGCAAGGATTTCAGTATCACGTTCCAGAAGATCTGCCAACTAAAACAATTGCATTTGTTGTTAACTACTTATGCTACTGCATCATTATAGCGTTTGTTCTCAATAAGAGCGATAAAGGACAAACATAATTTGTATTGATTTAAGCACCAAAGATGTGTTCCTAATTCAGATAGACATTCTTGTTATTTGAAGTAAGATCAAATTCTTTTGCTCCATGAAGCAGTCTTTCTTCAGATTTTAACAGTCTTTTGGTTGTTCAAGATATTAGGTACCTTTTGTGGAAACTGAAGGTTCATTCCATGTTCACTTGAGTCTGAATTTGTGTGCAAATAAAAGTATTTAAAAAAACGTTTTGTGAAGATTTAAATAACCTGTAATATGCCCTTATTTACAACACGGAGTCCTGCCAATCAATAAGAACGGTTGGGTGTGGCCTGATGTCTTGAAAGGTTAGGAATGTCTGTAATATTTTAAAGAGTACAAGCCTAAAGCTTGGAGGTTTGATATAAATAGTGATTTACCTCATGCATATTTAGGCAGTAACTTTATATCTATCTCAGAGAAAATTAAAATCATTGCCTTACCCATTAAAGAGAAGTCTTTGTAATTCATTCTACATGTTACAGTGATGAAACAATTTCAAGCCAAAGAAATAATGATGATGACCATATCAGGAAAGTTATTAGTAGTCCTGACAGAGAGTTTAAAACTTATTTACCTACTTACATAAAGTGTAAACTTCATGTAACTTCAAAAATGAAGAGTAAAGACAAAATTTCCAAACAGAATTAACACATACAAACAATGTGTTATGTTATTGCTAAAACTATGTAAATTAACAGGATGTAAATATAAATATAGTGTACTCAAATATTCTGCTATAACTTATTTACTTTTACAAAATGTGACGAAACAGATTTGTACATTTTAACGTCAATGATAACCTAAAATAATGCAATTTTTCAGCTTTCATAATACTTTTATATTTAAAGACATCAGAGTAATGTTAGTTTCTGAATGAGTGGTCATACACCCTCACAGGCATTTAATTTCACTCAAATTTCAATAACAATTTACAGGCAGTCTTGGGTCAATTCTGTTCCTGTCTCAATGTTTCTGGCAAACCTATCCTCACACATGGAAATCAAGACATGAGGTCATATGGTTGGACTAACTTCAGGTGTCAAGAAAAATGCACCGTTCCTTGTGATAAAATAATGATCCAGTTACAAGCAGTTTCTCTGATATAAGTTTCAGTTCACTATTTTTGTGAGTAGAGAACTGCATACAATTTAAATTATTTGAATGCAGGGACAACCCATCAAATATTCATAAAATAAAATGTATCAATCATTGAATAATTAATAATAACTGAATAATAATTAATTATTTGTTACACTGTACAAGCTTTAATTTGTAACTAACCTCAAACACTTCACTCCAAACACGATAAATTTTAAACTTGATGCTATAGACTTTTTATTTAAAACTTTTCAAATAAAATTGTAACCACTGCCAGACAAAACTTTTCCTAACGAAATAAACTTGTTGGTTAGAGTAGATGAGTGTTTCTTATTTTTTTATAATAATTTTAACAGTTGGACCAACTTACTCAAACCAACAGAGTGAGCGAGAGAGAGGGTTACTGTTGACACTGCATTCAACATACATTTGAGATGTCCAAATTAACCCCAAAAACCTAAGACTATAATGTAGTGATGATTTCATGATACTGCTTTTACCTATATGTCTC